TATTTATCATTACTTTTAAGAAGATCTTGAAAAAAATAATTTTTAAAGCGAAATTTCGCGTCAATGTAAAAAAAAAAGTAATCGCTCAAAAGGAAAAATAATGATCGAAAATAATTGAGCACATGATGGTCTATCAATTTCTTAATTAATATAAGTGTAGATCGATAAATTTTTTGTTAGATGTCTAAGAGTGAAGTAACTCAATTAGAGTTACACGAAATATTTTTAATTATAAAATTGATCTGCGTGCGACATGTCCGACGCTTGATATAGTTTATCGGGTAATACGAATAATAGCTGCGACGACCTTTGAGGTATTACTGGCAACGTTCCCTATAAAGGTGGAGGTACGATCTCGTCTCGTCATATGATGGTAGTTGCGGTTGCTTCTGTAGTTGCCGCCATACTTCACGCGTAAAAATATTTTGAGCGAAGAATTTTTATTTCACCACTGCCAGATAATTTTTTCCCATTAATAAGTAAGTTAATAAGAAATAATAATAAAAAAAAATTATTAGAGAATTTTTTTCTACGCTGTTTATATCTATTATGATCGACCATTGGCTAATTGTGTAACAGCTTAATCGGGAGTTTCTCGATTGTATCACAAAATTTTTCCATCAAATTTCTATAATGTTGTAATGCCTGCTGCCAAATTTGTAGCGATACTACATTAAATATAGTGTCGTAATACTAATTAATATATCCCGTTGTTGTACAAGTATGCCGTGATTAAGATAAATACATTTATAACGATCAACCTTTAATTCATTTTCTTAATTTAAATCAAAAAAAAAAAAATGACTGTTCGTATCGGTTGTTGTAGGTTAGTTAATACGCATTTTTATATCTTTAATATCTAAATTTTTTCCTAATTATATTAATTGTTTTCAATAAAAAAAATTAAATTAAGTGCATTTTGGGGGGATTCTGTTTCCGCAGCATCACAATTGGTAAAAAAAGAGAGAGAAAATTTAGATTACTTGATTGCGGACTATTTATCTGGTGAAATATTGTTATTTTTATTCATCCTTTTGAAATACATCTTTGAAATCACTCACTTTTAATCTCTTGCATCGTAATCGTAGAGATAACGATGGGAATTTTAGCTCGTCGTAGAAATCATAAATCACCCACAGAAAAATCTAAATTAAGAGGGGCTGGAGAAGGAGGGTATATTGCGGAGTTTATTACTCAAGTTCTTAAACATCTTTTACCTGATTTAGTTAAATATAACATTAAAGTTATTACAAATGCAGGAGGTTTAGATCCTTTAGCATGTAAACAAGCGATAGAAAATGCCATTAATGAAAGTGGAATAGAAGATGGTCAATTAATTGTAGCGGCAATAACAGGAGATGATATATTAAATTATAATGAAGAATTTAAACAAAAAGGAGATGTATATGAATTTACACATATAATTGGAAATGATCAAGATTCGGACAATTTTCCAAGCGAAGAAAAAGAAGTTATTTCACTTAATGCATACCTTGGAGCTATACCCATAGCAATGGCGCTTGACTCCGGTGCGAATATTGTGGTTACGGGTAGATGTGTGGATAGTGCTTTAGTTGTTGGACCATTAATAAATGAATTTAAGTGGGATCCACATAAAGATTGGGATAAACTTGCATCAGGTTCATTGGCTGGTCATATTATTGAATGTGGTTGTCAAGCTACGGGTGGTAATTTTACTGACTGGGAGAAAAGCGCATTTTCCGAGCATGGAGGGTGGACAAATATGGGTTATCCCATTGTTGAATGTTTTGAGAATGGAGATTTTTATATTACTAAACCAAAAGAAACCGGAGGTTTGGTCACTACTGCTACCGTAGGAGAACAAATGCTTTATGAAATTTTAGATCCTGGATCATATATCTTGCCTGACGTTGTACTAGATATAAGAAATGTTAAATTGAAACAAATTGAGAGAAATAAAGTTTTAGTTACAGGGGCTAAAGGGAGACCTCCTACTGAATATCTAAAAGTATCAGGAATTTATTTGGATGGTTATAAAATGACTGGTTCTCTGCTTATCGGAGGAATTGATGCTTTGAAGAAAGTGTGTAAGATCTTTTAAATTATCGGACCGGTTATCAGAAGATTGGCATAATTTAATTTAATTTAATTAATGTAATTACCTTTATAGGCATCAGTTGTTGGACTTTCAATTATTACGAAAACTAACATAATGTTAAACCAACTTGGGTTGGGAGCTTTTCGTAATGTAAATGTTGAACCGTTAGGAGCTGAACATACTTATGGGTAAGTTTATATTTGTTTCTTTATTTATTAGTAACATTGTCATCCCATTAACACGCTAAACCGCTATTTAGACCTCATACAAGAACTCAAGATACGAGAGAAGTTGTTTTAAATCTTACAGTTCATCATGATAATCCACAAGCTTTAAGACTTTTTGGAATGGAACTTGCTCCGGCATGTATAAAATCGCTTTAATAACAAACTATTCTTTTATTATTAATCCAGTTCCTTTATATTATTAGGCTGCTACTTGTATGGCTCCCGGAATTACAGGTATAATGACTTTGCAAGAATATATTTATTAATATAAGGCTAATCCAAGATTTTTTTTTTCAGGAGGTGGATCAGGAAGACCTAATCCTTCACCATGTCTAGTACACTTTTCTTGTCTTGTTCCGAAGGGTGTTGTTTTTGCTTATTTAAAAGCTGGCAATGATGCGGTGGTAAAAACCATCCAATTTGAAGGACCTATAAACAATGATAGTATTATACCGCCTTTATTATTTAAAAATTTTGATAATGAAGTTAATGAAATGAAGACAATTGAAAGTAATGTTAATGTAAGTGGTGGTACCATCAAAGTCCCTTTAATAAGGTTAGCATGGGGAAGAAGCGGTGATAAAGGAGATACCTGTAATATTGGTAAATATTTATATTGAATTGATCAATGTAATGATTATAATAATAATAATTTTTTATTTTTATTTTTGTTTATTTTTGTTTTTGTTGTTTTTTTTGTGCGATAGGTATTATAGCTAGGGAACAAAAATATTATCCACTTCTTAAAAAGATATTGACTGAAGAGGTTTGTTCTTTTATATTATCAAGTAAATAACCAAGGTTTTAAATATTTTTTTTTTTTTGATTAATATTTATTAGGAAGTCAAGTATTTTATGACACATTTATGTAAAGGTATAGTAAAAAGGTACGAATTACCGGGTTGTAATGGATTAAATTTCGTATTAACTAAATGTTTAGGTAAGATTTATTTAATATTTTTGACTTAACCAATTTTCTTATTAATTTTAAAATATCCTTCGATCTTTATATCTAAATAGGAGGGGGAGGATTAAGTTCTTTAAATACTGATAGACAAGGGAAAACATACGCTCAAATGCTGCTTAGTTATGAAATAGATGTTCCTTCAAATTGGTTTTCTAAACTTTAAACTTATCATGAATTTCATGAATTTCATGGTTCGATATTTGTATAAACAAAATTATGTAAATTCATGTGCATTATATTTACTCCTGTTACAAATTACAATATTATTTCTTATCCCATCGGTATTATGTATACACCTGTGGAATTTCTTATCACTTACTCCACTGGTTTATAACAAGTAATATGAATACGAAATTTATATTAAAATAATTATAGAAATATATTTATTTATATAGTATTATTTCAGTAATGAACATGAAAATGTACATCTTTAACTGTATTAGGAATATTAATTTTTGAAAATTCAGATTGTTTTTGAGTATCCAGTTCAGATTTTCTTTTTTTTCATTGAGAAAATTGTTTTGCATTAGATATCTTTTTTAATTTTTCTCGCCTTTTAGCTATTTAAAAATAAAGTTATAATTGAAATGTAAAAATATATAAAATGCATTAAAAAATAATTTACCATTATTATTTTTATTACTTGAATTAGTATTTATATTTGAATCTGAATTTTCGTTAGTGCTCTCTTCACTGGATTTTAATATGTCTCTACTTGGGCTTGAATACTCCTGTTCTTTATTTGATTCTAAAAATTAATAAAAATTATAAAATTGTATAATATATTATTAAAAAAAATAGTTAAAATTTATAAAACTTTACCTGAACTTTCTGAATCACTGCTATAATCATCATCATTAAAGTTAGTCCATGAATTTCTAGGAAAATATTCAAATTCTTTCACTTCAATATCTTCAATATCTAAAGGAATTAAGCTAACAATATTCTGAATTTTTCTTGCTTTATCTAAACTTATGTAAGTTCTTACTCCTTCTCGTGATCTGTGACCAGAAAATTCCATAATTTCATCCTCTGAAATATCTTCATCTTTAAGCATTTGTATTGCTATCCTATGATAACTATGGTTAACAGTTTTTCGATCATCAGACAAATTAATACTTGTTAAATTTGCAATTTAATTTAACATTTTCCCTAATTTATTTTGACCCATTCTTTGTGTTTTATATCATATTCCTTCATTTAGATCTAAATAAATAGAAATTTTTAATAATTAAATTAATAAATAAATAAAAGATATAATACAATAAATTGATTTACCTTTTTTCGATCTTGTAGTTTCTAAAAAAAATGATGAACATGCATTTGAAGGTCTCATTGATTTATATTTTAGAATATCATATATAGGTCTGTAAATATTTGCTTCAAGATCAGGTAGAATAGGAATTTTTCGTGATGTAGATTTTCTATATTTGTTTTTATTTCTAACATCCCTTTGATTATTTTTTTCAATAAATATTTCTAAGTTTAATCCACAATCATTTCTTCGTATTATTTGTCTATCTTCAATTTTGTAAGCATCACCACCTCATAAACCACATAATAATGAAATCCAAAAAAATACTCTTCTAATTAAGGATTCATATTCATCACCATTCATAGATGAATGATCCAATATTTGTTTTAGTTCCTACTTAGTTAATGAATTAGCTTGTACAGTTTCTCCTAATCCTTAAATTTGAAGTTGTTTCATTTTACTATCTAATGTTTTAATTGCTAAAGGAAAAGTATATTGATCCCAAATTTTGCATGATACAATAATAGATTCTTCCTTTAAATATCTTGCTAATGATATATAATAATTATACACAGACTTTGCTTTATAGTTTTCACCATTAAGTTTCTTAAGCCATATAATAAATTTACATAGAAATTCTTCAAGTTCTTTATATATATCATATTAATTAATATGTTTTGTTAAATTAGCTTCTTTATTAAATTTATCAACTATACAAAGCCACTTTGATGTACATTTTTCAGTATTTTTTACTCTTGAAAGTTGTTGCAGTTGATTTATTTTCTCACTTGTAGGTATAGAAGATATTATAATATTTCGATTGGTTTGGTTTTAAGAAAGAAAAATAAAAAAAAATATAGCGTGAGAAAACTAAAAGTTAAAATAATTCCACCAGTGTATACGTCATATATAATGAGATAAGCCTATTATTCCATATGAAGTTACGGATAACTGGATTTATGCATAGGTTATATAAGAATCACATGCGCTTATACGCATGTGATTATATCTATATCCTGTGAATAATCTAGTTATCCTTCATATCATATGGAATCTAGCTCACTCTAATAAGCTATTAGTGAAAGATCTCCTGAAGGTCTTGATCGAAGGATTGTTATTATTATATATTTGTTTTTCTTGTATAATAAATATTTGATTACAGAATACTTCTTTATAGTGAAAAGTAAACAAGAGCAATTATTTAATAGCACATATAGTGAGTATAAGAAAGGCATAGTAAAAGAGCTAATGAAGTTATCAAAATTTGATCATCATATAAAAGCGTCTCCAGTAATTGATAAAAAATCCAGTATTTTTATTGAAGAAATTATAGCATTAATGATAAAAGTAGATAAACTTAATTCTCAGTTCAAAAGGCTTAAAAGAACTGTAAACCGAATAGAAATTATGTAAAAAAGCAAACCGGTTTAAAGCTTGGCAAAAAGTTAACAAATTCATCTGTGTCCGATTCAGATTAAGAAAAGAATCAAAGGTGGCTAATGGTATCCATAAGTAATGTGTGTATAATCTGTTCACATAATACTGTATCACATACGTAACATAGTAACCTCGGGTCACATTCTATGATCAGACGAAATTCTCATAATTTTAGCTGACATTATGGCATAATTTTGGCCTAATATTTGAGATATAATAACTTCGCATCCAATGATTGGATTTATGCGATCTTAGCCTTGATTTAAAGCCCTTAAATTGCTCTATATGCATAAATATTTTCAGATAAATGGGATATTTGCCTGTAAAAATATTCTGTCTCAAAGTCTGATATTTTTCTTTTTCTTATACCTTTGGTATTATAGAAGATGGCTGTATAGATGACATTATAGAACCAACTAGCTTTTATGAAAAGGATGCACATTATTTGTGAAGAGGATGACTTGATGATGCTAAAGATGATCTTAATATCAGAAAAAATATACTTTCCGATCACGTGTTCATAATTTGATTCTAGATTAGTCTATTTTGATCTTAGACCTAACATGACTTGATACAAACCCATCATCGATACTTTTTTAACCAGTCATGACCCTTCATTGACCCATCTATCAACCCGTCACTACTCTTTATTGATATGTTATTACTCTTCATTGATCATTCAATCCAGTATCTAGTTATTTTATGACGCTTAAAAATATAAAGATACAGAATTCCTTTTTGCAGTATTGATATGTCCGATCATCTAGTTTTTTTTATGAATTCTAATTCCTTCTTTTCTATAGTAAAGATATTTGGCTGGGATTTGTTAACTGATAGAGGAATAGTAATAGTCTTTCTATTACATGTGACTTTAAATTCACCTTTCACTAAGGGCTTCCATCCTGCTCGATATTGCCATTGAGTACCAAGAATTACTAAAGATTTAGCATTTCCATTATAATCCTTTTCTGCAAGCATAACAGAAAATTCATCTATAATAGAGGCTGTATTTTCTCTAGAACTAATTGTTATGGGAACATTATCTATAGTGCTGATGGATATAGATTGACTTGCAACTCCATTGAACCTATGAATTTTTTTTCTATCAATTTTAATAACTAACAATTCTTTAACAGCTTCTGCAATATTATCTGAAAAGATAGAAGAATTAGAGCCTATATATATCATTGCATATGGAATTATTAAAACCCCTATTTTGCAATAAATAATTGTAATATCATCGGCATCCTTTATTCAAAAAAAATTTATTTTCAAAGGCTTGGGCCAATATATTTGACTATTTTTTTTTTTAGCTAAATGAAGTTATGCATATGCTTTAATAGCATGGTTTAGAGTATTAAAACACACAGGTATTATATCATTTATAGGATCATCTAACTCAATTCCTCTAGGACCCTTTAGCTTCTCTTCTATCAAAACTTGAATAAGAGGTTTTTGCTCTATATTTGTAGCTTGGATTAGCAGATATAAAACATCTATAATTTTATTTGTAATATATCCCATACTTTTTCCCTTTCCATGACAGTATCATCTTTTATAACTGTATTTAGAATCTGATCTTTCAATTTAGGGTATATTATATTAATATATTAAGAGTCTTCCTTAAGAATTTCTTTAGGAATATATTGTATAACTGATGATAATATAGATTTTAAGGCTACTAGAAAAATACAATCTATAATTATGGTTATAAGTGCTGAGGGTTCTGTTTTTTTACAAGACTTAAAAGTAGGGGATTTCTTCTTGTAAGTCTTTTTCATAGTTATTCCACTACACACCACTTTTTTTTTTACAGCATAGCAGTTTCGACTAGTAGTATTTAGAATAGTTTCATCATCATCAATGCATTCATCACTCTTCTCAACTTCCTGCTCAACTATATATTCTATTTCAAGCTTTTTGAGATCTTTCTTCTCCTCAAGTATGTATTCTATTTTAGGTTTTTCAGAATCTTCAGTAGATTCTCATGGGACTGGGTATTTCTTAGCATTTTGATATACATAATTAACCTTTTAAGTCCTCTTAACTCCAAGGTAATTAATCCTTATATAATCAGTCTTTCTACAGACTGAGCAAAGATGAACAATTCAATTAACTGGTAGTTTTTGTATTACTCTTTTAACTTTCTTTATAGCATTTGTATTCCTAACCTCTAACTCTAAAAAGAGGCTCCTTCTAACATGAGCTGACATGCCTCCAAATCTCTTTTTAAGATTATCATAGATAAATTGTTTTAAAATTACATCATCTGTTGCTATTTCTATATATAGCAAATTTCTTACAAGTTGAATTTTAAAATCATCTCTTTGTGATTGAATAGGAGTAGGTAGTACTGGTTGAAATTCTAGTTGATGTAGTATAGGTATTTAACCTGTATTCACACTTGGATTACGTTCTAACCACAAATCTTTTAATTGTATAAAGAATGCATCTATACTAACAGGATTGGCTATTCTTATTCATATAAAAAGATCATCTGATAATTAACTTTTAAGAAATCCTAAAACTTGTATATCATTATTTGCAAATACCTAATAATAAAAGTCGAATTCTTTTTTCATATGTATCAGGTGAATCGCTAACTAAAAATCTTTCTTGAGTTAATCTCTAAAAGGCTACTTATTGACTATCTATTATTTTACGCTAATATTTTGATCTTCATACATGTCCATAAAGTATTTGGAGAATTAATAGGATTAGCACAATTATAGGAATCATTTGTTAGAACTGGTATATGTTTTTCTCCCAACTTGGATTTTAAAAGACCAAACTTAATTGCATCATCAAAATCCCTTGCGTTAGCATTTCAAGTGCTATCATATTTAGCTCTAAATGCGATATAGAATTCCAAATTTATCTAAGTATTTATCAAGAGATTCCTGACTAGTATATTGTTCATGTTTAGCAAAAATAGTTGCTATTGTATTATAAATCAGTTGGTGTCTAGCTTCTGTTATGTTTGGTGGATTAATAAGTGGATTTTGTAATTTAAAATAATTTACTGGGAATTTATTTCTCGAGCTTTCCATTTTTAATATCAGTTAAATATCCAGGTTTTATTGAATTCTGCTAAGTCAGCCTCAGCTTTATGCCTTCGATTTATTAACAGAAAGCCTACCTTTTCTTGTAATAATATATGGTTACGTCTTTCTGCTTTCTGAATCCTAAGCCACTATACACGATGCTCATTTACTTCATTATTTAGAGCTTGTGATAGTATTTAATTATCATTTTGTGATCTTGCTCAGACTTCTTGCAATTGTTGTCCCTAGAGTACTGGCTCATCGAACACTTTGTTTTACTACTATATTCTGATCTTGCCAAAACTGACGAATTATATCAGTATAAGTAATAATATTAGCTAAACATGTATCAACTTTATCAAATTGCCCTCTTGTATCATCTGGAAGAATAACTCCTGTATTATCTAAATGTATCTGAATTCTTGCTAAAGAAGCTGAAACCTCAAATTGCCTATCTAAGATAGCTTGTCTTATATACTCTATATCTAATTTTCTTTATTATTTGAAACTTTTTTCTGACTTAGACCAGTTATTTCATAAATACAGGTCTTAAGTTGCTCAATTTTATCTTCTAGCCTCAAAATATTGATATCTTGTACAGTACTAGCATTACCTTTATGTCTTAAATCCTGCAATGCTTTTTGGAAACGCTATTTAAGTGATTTGATTTCAGTCTTAAGAGATACTATTTCATCTTCATGAGCTAATATTACTGAATCCTGATGAGATAATATCCTATAACAGGTTTCTAGCTCTTTACTAAGTGTTTTGAGTTTTTGATCCTTAAGTTTGTTTTCAGCTATTTCATCTTTCAAATCTTTACCTAACTCTTTATTAGTATCTAAAATTTCGATATAAACTTCTTTCTCAGTTACAGTCCTTCAGAATGTTTGCCTAGCCATATTTTATTTGGGTAATTTTTTTTAATACTATCTGAATAAATATGAAAAAAAGATGTTTATTCCTATTATCCAGATAGATTCAGGTGAAACTCGAAAACTTGACGTATTTATTGCTTTGCAAAAAATTTACTATCAGCCTATTGGGTATCAAAAAAATGTTAAAAATTGCATAAAGCTTATCAAAAACTGGGTTTGATTTTACCTTAAATGATGTGTATGATTGGTTTAAAGACAGGCTATATATTAGATACATAAGCCTCATTTTAGATATATTCCTCAAGCAAGTTTTTGTTCTATTACTACTTCCAATAAAGTTCATCAGACAGATATTCTCTACATACCTTATGATAAAATAGGGCTGGAAGAAGTCCACTTTTGGTTAATTGATAATGATGATTATATTTTCAAATATCCTAAAAGATCTTTTGTTCAAGAAGAATTGATGTTTTTTCTTATAATACAGAATTGCCTTCCCAGTGGGTACTTACGAATTAAAATAGTCTTCTGCTTTTTCATCCATTTGTTCTTCCTTAACAAACTATCCTTAGCTAATTCATAGTATAATTTGTATAGATCTATGATTGTATTAAGAATTCTGAGATCTGGCCTGTAATATTCCTTATAATCATTTTTTATTTGATTATACTTGTCTTTATTGGAGAAGATATTTTGGGCTAATTTAATACATGTTCTTTGGAATCTTCTGCCTGACGTAATTTTTTATCCTGATCTTTATAACTTAACATGAATTTTCTGTCTTTTGGTTTTATATAGTAGAATCCTGCTTTGCAATACAATTATAATATGAATCGGTATTGTTTTAATAAAAATTTAATTATTAATAACAGTATAATACAAATTGGTAAAAAAAATTTATAATAGAACTTTGAAAATAAGACTTTGCGATTTATACAAATCAGTGAATTATTTAGAATATTTAGACATTGCAGTATATATAATACAAATATAATAAATATCAAATTAACAATAATACATATAATACAAATCATTGATGTTTTTAAATTAATGATAATATATATTGAAAAAAACTTTTTGTATATGCATATTTTAATAAATTAAAGTATTATTATTAATAATACATATTAAAGTATAATCTTTTTGTATTATGCAAGTCGGTGATATTTGAATAAATTAAAGCATTATTATTGATAATATACAGTGATATTGTTACAAATTAACGATAATACATATATGTAAATCGGTGATATTTTGAATAAATTAAAGTATTATTATTGATAATACACATAGTAATATTATTACAAATTAATGATAATACATACTTTTTGTATTATACAAATCAGTGACATTATTAATAAATGAAAGTATTATTATGAAATTAACGATAATACATACTTTTTGTATTATACAAATCGGTGACATTATTAATTAATTAAAGTATAATTTTTGATAATACATGAATATTAGACTTATTGTATTATACAAATCGGTGATATTATTAATCAAAGAAATCCCATAATAAAGGTTTCACAAAAGATCATTGTACTTCTAAAACTAGGTATTTGGTTGAATGCAAATGTATTTTACATTGCCGTGGTAGTAAATTAGTTGATCCCAGAACATTTAGGAAATACCAATAAGAATTAGAAAGATTTCGTGCTATTACTTCTGAATCTCAGCATTCTATCTGATCAAGAAGAATTAGAAGCAATAAAGTCGATATAAGAACATCATCAACTTTGAAAGAAAAAAAAAGAGTCAAATTGGTTGATTGATATCAAAATTCACCTGATGATTATTTTAGTAATGATTCAATTCCAATTAATGAGGAATTAATTGATATACATAAGAAACAAAAATGATATAATAAATTTTGTGATCCTATTTATGATGAATTAGAACCAATTCTAATTGAAGAAGAAGAAGATGAAGAAGTTGATGATATATCTACAACAGAAGATGATCACGGGTTTAGTGATGATGATCATGGTTTAAATGAAGATAATATTCAGTTTGAACAATTTACTGCTCCCGATTTTGATGATCTTAATGAATCAGATCATGAATATTTTGCCATGAATGTTAACTTTAATAATCTGTGGATATTGTTATAGATATTCAAGTTTCAAGCAAGATTTTGCCTTTCTGACATTGCTATTGATTCACTTATTAAGTTTTTTAATATAGTTTTATTAACAAGTTCTTATATAGCAAAAAAATGATAGGAATTGATAAACAAGCAAAGATATATGCAGTATATCTAAATTGCAATACATTATATAAAATTTCAGAAATTTTGCAAAAAAATGTGAACAATCAGTCAAATAATAGGTTTAAATGCACCTATGTGGAATTTTTAAATCATCTGAGAAAAGGTCAGAGGAGTCCTTGTGAAATAGAAATAACAAAATAAATATTAATAGTTAAAGGTTACATTAGAAAACCAAAGATGATTTTTTTCTTACCATCTTTGAAGGCTCAATTAATTACAATGATTATAATGTATTAGCGATCAGGATTTGAATAACTTTTGAAAAAATGGACCAATTGGAATGATACTGAACTGATAACTGTTATTTATGATGGAGAAATTTGGAAACTTTTCTATCACAAATTAACACACCTGATTCTTCGTGATTTTTTACATTAAAAACTGCTGATTTCCATTTAGGAATTATGATAAATCTCGATTGGTTCCAAACATTTGATTTATCAGCATATAGTTGTGGCATCATATATGATATTATATGTAACCTTCTACGCAAAGTTCAATTTAAAAAGGAAAATATATTGATAAACCACTACCTTTCCCTGATAGTGGATGAATTATTAGAATTGTGAAATGGATATGTTATACCAATCTCAACTAAATTTCCGAATGGAAAAAGAATTAGGTTAGCTGTCATTTGCTGCTCAAATAATATTCTAGCTGCTAGAAAATTATGCGGTCATATATCGGCATTAACTGGCTGCCATTGATACTACAAACGTGCAAATACAGGAGGTAGAAAACCAAATTTTGGTGGGTTCAAAGACATAGATGATTGGTTTCAAGAATGAGACCTTGAAGAATATCTCAGAAATGCTGAAGGATGTCAGCAATACAAAACAAAAGATGAAAGAAAGCAACATGTTTCTGATACACATGTGCGTTGGTTAGAAATGTTAAGGCTGCCTTATTTTAACCCAATTTGATATCTTATCATCAATCTGATGCATTGCCTTTTTCTTGGTATTGCCCATTGGATAGTAAAAAGATTATGGTCTAACAAAATAGATCTTGTATTATAGGAAAAACAGGCAAAATTCATCAACCTACCCGCCGATTTGGGTCAGATCCCAAATAAAATTTCAACTGGAGAAGGGTTTTCTGGCTTTACTGCCAATTAATGGAAGGCTTTTTTTTAGTATATGTGACTCCATTATTATAGGATCTTTTGGATTTACTGGATAGAGAAATTTTAGTTAATTTTGTTAGAATTTGCTCATTACTTGTATGTCAAATAATTGACAACAATATATTGACTGAAGCTTATACCCGATTGTTACAAGTAGCACTTTTAGTTGAAGAAAACTATGGACCAGAGTTTATAACACCAAATATATACCTTTCGCTTCATATTACTGGATGCTGTCATAATTATAGTCCTTTATATTCATTCTAATATTATTCATTTGAAAGAATGAATGGAGTTTTAGGTGAGATTTCATATTGATTGTTATTAAATTATTAAATAATTAAATATATGATTAATAATTATTTAATTTTCTTTATAGGATCCCTTCTGAACAGTAAGCGACAAATTGAATTAGAACTTCTATGATCATTGTGCAAAACTAAAGAATATACGAATTAATTTTAAATCAATTGGATTGTTCAAAACTGGCACAAGCTCTTAAATTGGTAAAGTCTCGTCTGACAGCTAGAAGTTTAGCATCTTATGATAAATTGAATTTACAGAATCATACCGATTCGTACAAATCTTTCATCATATTAATGAAACCATTATTGGTAATGAGCCATTTCCAAGATAAATACTTTCTCCAAAAAAAGAACACGTGTTTTTACCAGATAATATTTATTGAATTATTAGTTCAATATTATAATAATGCATATGATGGGAAATTTGTAATAATAGCAGGTGCAGTTTCTGAAATATTAACAAAAGATCTCAGGAATTCATATATATTGGCAAAATTTATACAAAGCGATGAGACTACAGACATATTTATTGATAAAGTACAATACTATTTTGAACATTCACTTAACCTTTCAATAGGTACTGTAATGCATCATTTAGCATTTGTAAAATGACATATACCAGCTCCTGACCAGAAAACAAGATTTAATTGTAAATCTAGCATTGAAGAAGAATTATGTAATATTGAGCTTTGGAAAGATGAATTCTATAAGATTGATAGAGATAGTATCATCCCAGTTCATAATATATATAGTCGATTTGTGCCAAGTGAATTTATAGTTAGTGTACAAAAACTGAAAAAATATATGGCAGTCATACCAATTAATAGACAATTTCATTTG